ATCCTTTTAAAATTATTAAATGACACTAAATCTAGAATATTTTGATGCATTCGCAAAAATGCAAGATTTTAGCAAAGGATATTTGCATATGCATACATATTTAATGCACTAGAATAATACTCTTAAAACAATGAAACAATGATTTGCTAAATTTGCCTTTTGTCATTTTAAGAGAAAAAATGGCCAAAGTCAATCTAACGTATACGAAATTAGAAGCGATCTTTTAGCTTATGTGCTATCTTGTTCTTGGTCTTACACTTGGTCTTGGTCTTGCTTTTTGTAAGTTAAAAAAAAAAGAATGAAATAATAGTTAAATACATTAAATATATTATCCTTGTGAATAAAGAGAAATCCGCAATTTAAAATAGATTATAACTTATGTTGTAAAAAAAAAAAGTTTAAATCTAGTAATGAATAAAATAAAAAAGATCGATTCAAGTATAATTAAAAAACATGAACCATGCAAACTAAAAGAACCACTTAAATTTATTATCTTTATTAATTTCATTAATAAATATGAATTATACGTATATTATATTATTATTAACTAGGTGCTTGAGTTGCTTAAAGGGAGTTAGAGATGAGTGTACTATATCTGATATTGCATTATGCAGTGCAAGAACTTCATATTGTGATTAGGCTCCATGGCTGCGATAGCAGTGCAAGGACCTCATGTGTATAGTTGGTGTCCAAACCTAATTAGTTTGGGAGTTTGGGACTATCTAGGGTATTACCCACTATTTGAGACTAGTTAAGGTCGTGGAACTTGTCCCAAACTTATTGTATGAATTGAATTTGGAACAAAATTTCAAATATATCCAATTTGGACCAATAGTTATAATTATTTGGACGGCAATTGTACTCATGTGATTAGGCTCTATGGCTGCCGTAGGCAATGCAAGAACCTCATGTTTGGTGATTGAGCTCCCTATAAAAAAAAAGTTCAAATTTTTATTATGGAAAATATTCATTATTTAAAATATTAATCTGAACAAAATCTGAATAAAATTTTGACTTTTTTTTATAGAATCACAACTATAATAGCAGTACAAGGGTCTCATATTGCGATTAGGCTCCGTGGCTGTGGTAGCAATGCAAGGACCTCATAGTGTGATTAGGCTCTATGGCTGCTAGGGCTGCTAGCGATGGGTTTGGTTGCAAATGGCTACAATTATTCATAGTCAATTTTCTAAATATTGAGTGATTTTTTTTTTTAGCTTTTAATTTAAGTTGTTTAGAATTAAATTCTGTCATCCCATCTTATAAGTGGAAAGAATGAAACTTTCTCTGGAACTAAGAATTTTAAAATTTGTTAATATCATAGCTGATTAATAACTGGTGGCTAATAACCGGTTATAATGTTAACAAAATTTGAAATTCGGAGTTCTAGAGAAGGTATCATTCTTTCCACTTATAAGATGAGATGAACAGGATTTAATTCTGAAGAACTTTAATTAAAAGCTCAAATAGAAAAAATCATATCAGTATTTAGAAAATTGACTATGAATAATCGTAGCCGTTCGTAATCGAACACATGCCTAATGGCCGTCACAGGTAGTGAAGTACCTCATGCTTGGTGATAAAGCACCGCAACTACAATAGCACTTTACGTTGTGATTAGGCTTCATGGCTGCTATAGCAATGCAAGGACACATGTTGTGATTAGGCTCTATGGCTGCCGCAGGCTGTAAGGATCTCATGTTTGCACCACAACTACGTTACGCTTAGGGCATTTACTAATTTCCCCCCCAAGTTTTGATTGGCTGGGATTATTCGTGTCAATTTACATGTCACCTTCTGATTAAAATGTGACATCTCAGTTAGGTTAGTGGTTAGGGTTAGTGGGCAACATTATACTAAAATTTTGCAAGGAATTTTTTTTTGTTAGTGCATAAAGGGTGATTTCTTAGCCGAAATTTTGCGATAAGTGTGACTTTTCAAAAAAAAGCGATTGTTGTTTTGATCTTCACGTTACACCTGATCTTGCATTATGATTGGTCAATATCGAAACTTTGGGGGAAATTAGTAAACGCTATGTAGCTTAAGTGTATATGCAGTTAATACTGTAATATGGAAGAAAATCAAATTTTCTAGTGAAAAAAAATATTGTATGCATTGCTTATTTTTCGCATGAAGAATTATTTATTACTTTTGAAACTAGAATGAAAAACAGCCAGCAAATTTTATGAATATACAGTATACTCTGTCAAAACTGGTACGCATGGTAGACAAAATTTTATATCACTTTTAAAGAGTTATCAGATTTAAGAGGTCAAATAACTATATTAGAAATAGACATAGTGGATTGATTTTTTATCAGTTTTGACAGGTTATACTGTATATTCATATTTATTTAAGCTCTTTTATTTCATTTCAGCATTCATTTATATAATATTTGTGGGAGTCATGAGAACAATATAATTGATCATGTAAGTCTATTTTAGTCGTAGTAAGATTTTCGATTTCTTTAAAAAAAAAAAAGAGTATGATAGTTAAGATGGTTAAACGTTTATCAAAATAAATGTAAAAGTGTTTATGAAATATTAGATATCAAAAAATTAAAATTCAATCATTAAGAAGAATTTGATTCTAATTCTATACCATTCTATATTTTAAATAGACGAATACTAATTTAAAATATAAAGCTACCAATTATAAAACGTACCTTTGTAGACATATTCATCAGTTTCGATAGCTTTTTTATATCGTCTTCAATTTTTAAATCATAATTTTTCAAAAATAACTTTTTAGGCGCGGACGAAAGTATGAATAACCCAATGGGTACTCTCTGCCGATAAACAGAAGTTGGAGACAAGCAATGGCTAGATTAGGGTTTATGATAAAGTGAAAATTTTAATAAAATTAAATAATCTTACTCGTTTGTATAAATTTTTAACTTGATATCGAAGTATCACTTGAGGATTTGACATTTTATCATTTTATCGTACCTCGCGCGAGATCGCAAAATTATCACACCTGCGATTTCGCGTGACTTGTGCGAAATGATATTATATCTCACACGAGATAAATTATTTGATCAGAAAATTTTAATAATTGTCGCGGATCATAATGAAATCGGATTAAAATGAATAAGGGTTTCTATTTAACCCTCTAAAACTCACTTATACTTGTTTATTATAAATTCTACCCTAAAACTAACTTCTAACCCTAACCCCTAACCCTAAAAAATTCACCTCAAAAATTTTTATTTTTCAGTGGCATGTCTATTTTTACATTGTATAATATTTCATTTTAATCCGATTTCATTTTAATCTGCCACAATCTATTATCTAGCTATATGAATATTCGTTTATGAATGCTCGTTATATATTTTCCGAAGGGGATTAAGGTAGAGGCGTAGAGGTATAGAGCCAAAGTGTTGCAAAACAAGCTAAATCATTTAGAAAAAACCGTAGATAAGATTATTGCTTTATATGATCTACTTTTGATACAGTAATACATTGAAACCGTGATCATTAATGAAATTTGACCCTATAGTAAATAAAATAAGAAACTTAAAAATGAAAGAGAAAAGGTAATAAATAAGTGTAAAAAACTGAGAATTTTTCGCGATTTTATTATAAGACCATACAAAATAACCGAGTGGACCTTACATATCGATATGTCTATATGTACCGTATAGCTAATTCTTTGGGTATAAGGTCAAAGTAACCCGGAAACCTCAAATTTAGTTTGAACTTAGAATTAAAAGAATATACGGCATAGGAGAAAATCTTTCATATTCACACATAAATAAAGTTTGGACCAGGTTTATTTTTCATATGTTAAACCGGTTTTAATCGGGTTTAAATAAAACTCTAGCGCATGAATGCATTTGGATAACATCGGTATTGTTGGCCAATAAAAATTGATAATCAGGTGTAACATGATAATCAAAACAATTTAAATTTGATGTTTATCGAATTTCTCGAATTTTTTATTTTCACGCTTCTTTTGCATCTTTTCTGTTTTAAGATCTACTGGTTCTTGATTAGAAGCCAGTTACGTTCTTTCATTGATTTAAGCAACTGGCATAGAGGTTTTTGTTAGCAAACTAAATAAAAGCTTTGGTAAAGAACAACCTGCTCCTGTATAGGAGAACATGACTGGGGTTATGTAGGGGGCTTTTGGTGCTTTATTATAAAGATAAAGAACTGCACTTGAATCTATATTACTTTCATTAACTGAGTGCCAAGCTTACCCTATTATGCCTTCCTAACCAAAGAGATATACCGTTACGTGGTGGTTGGAACAAGTAGGATCTAAACTAAGTATCTTAAGCTACATAAGGGAAAATTTGGCTGGCTTTACTTATTTGTGCCGATAGTACTGTACAAACCAAAAAAGAAAATCTAATTTTGTAAAATAAACCAAGTGCGTAAAGATAGAAGTTTAGGGTTAGGGTGTTTTAGCATTAGAGGCTATAACGGTAGATTGTTGCTTATATGTAAAAATTTTGCTCCGTCATTTTTAATTAGCGCATAAAGGTCGGTTCAAGCACTAGTTTATCTAAAAAAAAAATTTTTTATATCCTAGCAAAAAATATCTCTTGAAATGTTGATATAACAGAACTCATTTCTTCGTAAAAATAGAATGCACAGTATATTATTTAAAATTTTTTATAGTTAAATTTCCAATTTATTTTTTATCCTTTAATTAAATCAATTTGTATAAATTTACATATAAAATTCGGGTGGTCAATTCATTTGATTATTAATTAAACCATTTAGAGCCTTTGTATACGGACTGTTATATACCTCGTTGTACGGATGAAGTGAGATCACCGAATTTCGGTGCCTTTGCCAGAAACTCGTCATCATTTTCAGTAAAGGTATTTGTTCTTAGAATGCTTCCCATACTATTTTGTCTTATCACCGGTTTCGGTGTTGTAGGTTTGGACGGTATCAATGGTTTCAGCGACATTGACCTTATTAACCGTGGATTTGATTCATAAAAAGGATTGCTGGAAAAATTTCTATACTTCCTATTTATAACACTCTTATCTACAACCATCGGTGATGAAGAATCGCCTATGTTATTAAATTTTATTTCAAAAATTACTAAATAATTTATTCTCACTAAAAAAAGACTAGAAAGTCACTTATAATAATACCTTTATAATCTGCCCACCACTGGAAAGTTTCTGAGCTTGGTGGTGGTACTAAAGAAGTCGAAATTCAAATTTTAATGGAAATTATAAAAATACATATTAAGAAATATGTGTAATTTAAAAAAAAAGGTCCTTAGAACTTATTCAAATTAATACGAACATCCTTCTTTTTTATTGCTCTCATCAAAATTAATCAAAACACCAACAGGAGGCCCCGTCTCTTTGCCTATATCACTATTATCAGTAGTAGTTATATCATCTTTATGATCATCCGACGGATTATTAAACTTTCTAGCATAATTTGTCTTTTCTAGTTTACTATCACCATTAATTATGATGACATCATTAATGGCATCATTAATGGCATCATTAATGGCATCATTAATTTGCTTTTCATCATTTTCTGGTATAGAACGCACAATTTTCTTTTCACTGTTTCTCGACAATGTTTTTTGTTTCTCGAGATAAAGTTCCCCCTGTATCTTTTTTTTGGCAACTTCGTCAAGTTTAATTACCTGAAAGGAAAAAAAAGGTCAATACTAAGATATGAATAAAATATTGGCGCATTTGCTTACCTCTATATCAAATGATGACATGACTACAAAATTTAATGCATATATAAGAATTTTAAAATGTCATTGATTCTATACAAAATTTAACAAAACATTTACCTGGCCGATGATCAGAAACCTTTAATTCCGCCCTAGAGTATCCAATCTGTCGGATCTAAAAAAAAAAAAACAGATGATTACCTAAAAAACAAAATAACAAAAGGAAACAAAAGTTGCATTTTACTTAAAACGAACTTTATTTCCTCGATATAATATTCTATCTAAAATTGATTAACTTTGAATTAATAACTATTGAATTATACGTTATATGTCATGGCAACAAAGCTAACCTGTCCATGCAGGTGTTCGAGCCTTCTCGCTAAAAAAATCAATGGAAAAAATAAATATGCTGCGGCAGACCTCCACTAATTCAATCAGAGATTTGTAAATACCTAGTGTCATATTCATCAGTTCCATTATCGTATTTATATGTGGGAAAAAAGGTAATGGGCCCTTCAATATACTCAGTGAATGCGTAACCGTAGTTTATTTGGTTTGTCAACTATAAAAAATAATATTTAAAAAATTCCTATTTAATACGATATCAGAATTTTTGATTTATATAAAATTTATTATTTACCTGCTCAAACTTCAATAATTGTTCGAAATTTTCTTGATATATGAGTTCTCTAACCTAATCAGATACGGTATCATTATTACTTATGTTGAAAGAGGTATCATATTCGAATAATGAAATTACCTCCTCGTTTCCTAAATTTATGCGATAGTTAAAATCTCCAAAGAAAACAACATATCTTAAGCATAAAAATGGTTAATAAATTATATGTCGACGGATAAATTAAAAGTTTTTACATCGTAAAAATTTACTTACTCGTGATGTAAGAGACGACGACCATTTCGAAAAATTAATCCATCATTGATGGTATGGTAATCTCTATTTCTATCTTCTAAGTTTGATTGTCCTACGTGTGATCATCGTGTAACCGTATATTAGCAATAATCGAATGTAAATAAATTATATATTTTTTCTTACCAGACGCCAAATGTGCTGTGACAAAGCATATGCTGGTATCATGATAATCAAGGCGGATGGCAACAGCTCCCTTGTTTCCAGCCATACCACCTAAACCCATCTGCAATATCAAACATTATTAAACGCAAACGGTAGGTTATTAAATATTGGTACATTAGAGACGAAAGAAGAGGAACCTGACCTTTTTCATTACATATTCAACATTGCGTATATTGGATACAATATCAGATCTTGCGTAAATAACTAAAGCCGTACCGACTAACTGCCCGGATCTCAATATTACATAATTAGAACGCTGACCAGGACGACTATTTAAAGCTTTACTTATTTCCTTCTCCCAAATTCGTCTAAATTATATATATATATATATTACAAAAGTATATAAAACACTAAGACGTTATAAATAAAACTTACAATTTTTCTGGATCAGCTGAAACAATCTGAGTTTTATTTATGAAAAATTTTAAGATTTATTGTGTGCCTTACAACCTTTAAGATTATGTAAAATCATTCGCTTTACCTGTTGTGCTTTTAACTCGACAATCTCCTGAAAACCGATGACAAATAAATGGGGATCAGGCTCGTCTATTTAAAAAAAAATAATAAATTTTATAAAATGCTCGAAATCAACAACACCAGGGCGTAGGATCGATTTCCAGATCACATGATTTTCCGACGTAAATTAACCAATCAAAAACCAGGAACAGGTGTAACGTAAAGAAGTTCAAAACAAACGTCCGCTTTGTAAAAATCGCATTTTTCGATCTTTTGACTAAATCAAAATACAGTTTACCCTCGATTATATCAACCCATTTGAAAATGGTGTTGATAGTGATATTAACAAGGGATTATATTAAAAGTTGATATATATGAGGGAATTTTAATATATAAAATTAGTAAAAATTCATATGGCTTAGGTTGATATTAATGAGGGTAGACTGTATAAACTAATTTTTTTGTTCGAAGATCATTGACATCGGAAAATCATGTGATCGGAAAATCGATCCTACGCCCTGTCAATTTCGCTCAAAATCAAGGATTTCCAGTACGTACAGTCACTAAAAGGAAATAACCAAGGTGAGAGAGACTCTCCAGACGGTAGACATCCATTCAAATTGTATGAACCGACAAATACATTGATCGTAGATTTCAAACAATAGTCGCTTAACCTATATAGTATATATTTTATATATTTTGATGTTTTATGAAAAAACAAGAATAATCACGTTTGTTGATAATTATCGTATAGTGGTTATTACCTGTTTAAAATATCTTGACGTATCGCTTCATTAACTGGATCATGAATCTCAATTGCTTTTGAATTTAACAGTTTTCCCTTTAGAAAATTTAATTAAAATTTATATAATCGAATTTTATAATTTACTCAATTTGAACAAATAACACTTACAAGTAACAAATCAATTGCTTCCTGCTTTGACTTGTCTTGAAAGTTATTGATATAAAATCTGTTAACGGTCTTTGTAGCATCAGTCAGGACACCTACAGGGCAATTCAACATATGCATATATATATTAAGTATGATGAGGTTTTGGTGTATGGGATGACAGAATTTCACTAAAAATCATGTACCGGCCCATGTGACTTTTCCACTTCGGGTGTATTCTGATCTAAGAGCTCCAGTACCAGTGTAAATTTTTGATAGGCCATCACCATTCTCTGCCCATAAAATAGAATGCCGGGATTGAAGACTTTCAATATCAGATTCCGAAATATTTCCCATAAGTCTAATATATGTATTCATCACATCTTTTGATAATGCAGTTTGAACTACATTTGTTCTATTGTGCCAGAAATGATTGTCATTTACAAGTAACAGTAAGAGATTACTCTCACGCGAGAGTCTACGCCAACCCAAGATTATATCCCCAAAATTTAATGATATTCAATATTCCAGTTTGCTCTGGATGATAACAAAGCTACAAAATTTAGGGGAAAAACCTTGAGTCAACATGGATCTCTACGGGTGAGTATATTTTGAGAACATCTAAAAACGAATGTGATAATACCTATCTAGACTTAAAACACAATTGATTAAAATAAAAAAATAAATATCTTATCAAATTACGATATAAAAATAAA